ATTTCTTGTCTTTTCCTTCCGGGCCTCCTTCGGCGTCAGGCTCCTCAGCCTCACCTCCTGGCTCGCACGAGTGATACGGGTAAACCTTGGTGGGAGTAGGCGTTCCGCCAGGTATCGAGGCCCTAAACTGTTTATATATATTTATAAAACACCAGTACATGATTTGTCATATATATCCTTCCACCTGTAAATCAAGTTAGGCTGTGATCTTATATAGACGTTCCTGATAGTAAGTTCCTTTGGACTCCATGGAGATACTTTCAGACAGCTGGGCCAAGAAGATCCAAAAGTGGAAGACCTGCCTCATCCAAAACCTTGCCAGGCTCATGGTGGGATGAAGGGAAGAGGGAGGCATACATTCCTCTAGTGCCAGAGGAAAGTAATGGAGGGAAGTTCTGTATGTTACCTCCTGGGTTAAGAGTAGGTTTTTCCCATCCATTGGTGGCACACTAAGGAAATGAGAGAACTTGAAAGCTGCTGGACCTGAGGTCTTCCACAATCTGGCCAATCTGCTCTCCAGTCCACATGCCCTCTTCCGCCTCTGCCAGTTAGAGCTGTGATGGCAGAGCATAAAGTGTTGCAAGTGCTTCCCTGGTAGGTTGGAAAGCCCATTTGAGCCTGGATCACCCTTTCTGTAGGCGAGTCTTTTTCTTTACTACCTTTGACCATTGGGACACTGTATGTTATGGCAACCGTCGCTTTCGAAACAGTCCATCATTAACAGCCACGCTCAGTTCTTACCAATCAAAGACCATGATTTCTTTATTGAGTCAACCCATCTCATATTCAGTCTTCTTTTCTTACCAATCAAAGACCATGACTTCCTTTATTTAGTCAACCCATCTCATATTCAGTCTTCTTTTTTAAACTGCTGCCTTCCATTTCCCCCCCCCCCCAGCATTTCTACTTTTTTTCCAGTGAGTCTGGGAATTTCATTGTCAGGTACTTTTTACCTGGGACCATAAAAGTTCAGCTTGTCTTTACTAGAAATATCCTCTGGACAACATGTTTTGGTTAAAATAATCTGAGGCAAAGCTTCTGTTATATTTAAAGTATGTATGTATTTAAAGGCCATGTACAAAGGGAAAGCTTGGAAATGACTATGAAAACAATTGACTTCATGCATATTTTTAATTTCCCCTGGAACTCTTATAAAGTATTAAATGTGGCTATTATAAAAATGCTTCTTCCTTTGAGGCTCCTCCGCTTAATTCTGCAGGAAAGTCATCCTAGCACTCAGTTGATGTCATCATCACAGCCATTCCTATAGCAACACCAATTCCTCTTGTAAAACTGCAGTTATGGTGTTGCTGCAAGATTTCCAGAGAGAAGCAAAAGCTGACAGGGAAGGTTCTTTATGAGCATATACACCCATGCAATAAAATTAGCACAGAGACTGGAATTTGGGCTAGCTAGAAGCTTCCCCATCTTGAATTTTCAACAAGCTCTTTCCACATATGAATGATACTCACCAAGAAGGTATCATAAGTTATCACCATGCATTTTTTTAAAAAAGAAAATACTATAATGACAAAAATCTTTTTATAATGGGCAGACTAAAGGCTACTATACTTGCAGTAGCCACAAAACAAAACAAAACACCTGGCTTTCTGTGGACCATAATTTAAGAAACATGTAGGAGGCGATAGGTTGCTTATCCAGCCCTTGACTTCAGCATCTGACTGCCCAAATGAGAATAGATAGCCATAGCTGTTAAATCTAGACAGGGCTGAACACTGACTGCAGTTTTTTATACTTCAAAACCTTTCAGAATTTTGTGGCTCTTTGATACTCCACTGTTGTCAGTAAAAGCACCGCTGATCTTACTGCTAGATGCTAGCTGATCTTTGGAATTCCGTTTCCAACAACTGGCCATTGATTGCCAAGAAGTGCCCGCGGTCTTAAAACGTCCAAATTGTATTAACTGATGGCCTTACCTTTCCTCTTCCTTGGGAAAAAGCAATGTCTTTTCAGTATCTGGGCTGTCAAGACCATTAAATGATTCTGGCTCCTGCCCTGAGTGTGGTTCCTCACTGTAAAGAGATTGCATGAAAGAAAATGGAAAGCTTCCCCCTTCCTCCCTCTCTCCCACACTTTGTGTGTGTGTGTGTGTGTGTGTGTGTGTGTGTGTGTGTGTGTGTGTGTGTGTGTGTGTAATGCTTTAGTGAGTGTGCAGTTTTTTCTGTGGTGAGGTTTGATTTATGCATTCAAGGTAAGGTGGTGGCAGCCATCTTCACACATTCATTTTCTTTGAATATGCAAAAGGTGGAAACAGAGCTACCTAGATTTCAACATTGCCAAAAAGACTTGTATGGATATTTGTAGGTACTAGGTCAATCTACTAGTAAATCAGGCAGAGAAGGTTTAAATAAATGATGGATAAGAAATCTCTCTGGTCTTCAGCTGAGCCCCTTCTACATAACAGTTCAGTGTTGGTAATAGGCATACTAAGATTGAGATCACCACAGACAGAGAGGTAACTCAGATATTGCTCCCATCTCTTAAGTCAAAAATCCTATAAAGCCTCCCAGTAAACCTAAGTGGACTTCTGGTCATCCTTATGGTCTTTTGTATTTTTCTGCCCTGAGCAGAATGTGACTATCTTTAGAGATTAACTACTGGCACAACCAACAGAGAGCCTCAGCAAGAGCAGCTTGACAAGGAGGGCAGACAGTTTAAGAGTTCCCACTCCCCAATACACCCACATATCAAATCCTGAATGTTACAGAGGCTGACTGTTCTAGGGCCCAGGTCCGCTTGCTGCCTCTGTCTTTGCCAGAAGTGTTCCTACCTCCAGCTCCTAGATGCCTGCTGTCGAAACACTGCAAAACTAATTGCTTGTGCCTGGCTTTGCAGAGCAGAATACTGTAGAAGCTTAAAATAACTTTGAAAGCACTTTCTCAGGTCAGGCTGACCTGAAACCACTCTCTGAAAGACTCCCAGAATCCAGGGTTTTAGCCAGAAAATCTCATTGGTTTATTTTCTCTTCTGAGCCCAGAGGAGTTTGGTTAGTTGCCATTTCCTTGAGCTCTCTGCCTCTCTTTCTTCGCACCTTTCCAACTAGAAGAACAGCACTGCCCGATTCCTCTCCAGAAATGTCTTGTGAGACTATGGGCAGTGAATCTCTGTCACTCCTATTGCCTACACTCTGAGGTTGACTTTTTCTATACGAACAGCTCCTCCATCTGTTTCATGTGTGTGATCCACTCATGGTCTGTCATTTATGAAGCTGTACAATAATATTTTCTGTTTCCCAGAATAATAGATAGGTCTTTTTTATCTCTCAAGTCATCAACAAAATAGTCTGTTTCACATGTTTTTTTGTGAATGTATGTTACTGCATCCAATATGTGTGTGTATGTGTTTAATCTTACACACACACGCACACACACACACACACACACACACACAAATTTGCACATGGACAAATCTAATTTTATATGTATTTTTTCATTTAGATTTTACCATAAAGCATGGTCCGCTTATGGGAAACCTCCACCCACCCACCCACTGGACATTTAGTATTTGCTGTAAGATTTAATATGTTCTATATTTTTCCTTATGTCTCTTTACAGGAAAGGACCCTGTTTTTCATACCTGAATGATATGAAATTAGTATAGATCAGGAGAGGGCATCCAAATCCACAGATTAACCTCAAGATTGGTGTGGACCTTGACATGTCACCCCACCAGATCTTCGTCAGAAAAGCCTAGAATTTGGAGGAGGAAAATACAAAGTTGGTATACAGCAAGACAGGGAGTATATAGCTAATTGTCAATCTCATCCGGGGAAACTTATAATGAGAACACAAACCCCATGAAAAGTGTAACTGACGGAAACATATCCTTTACTTCAGCATCAGTTCACCAACGTTTTTTTGTTTTTTATTTTTAAATCTGTTTGCTTTGCCAAAGCATTTTGATTGGCTGATTTAGCCTGTTTTTATTGGTTTCCCTGTTTTTCTTTTTCTTCATGACTGGTGTTGCAGGGAAGTTTTATAATGCCATTTGTAAAATCCTGCTTTTCTTTCATCATTTATATTGTATTTTAAATTTCTGGGCAGCTACTGCACGAAACCTTTGCGGGGTGAAAAATGGGTGAATGCAAGTGTTATGAGTAGACCTCTCCTTGTGCAATGAGACTCCCTCCCCATCCCTGCTTTTCTCTCCCACTCCCTTGTAACTCCAGAGAGCCTCCCAAACCTCTGGATGAGATTTTGAAGCTGCACAGGAGATTGCAGGGGGAAAGGGGAGGTTGACAGAATCCCTTCTGTTGGCGGGAGAATAATTAGATTCCACCAGACAGAATAATGCCTTGATGATGTTTATTAATGAAGCAGAGCCCAAGTTCTTAACTCTGTCATGTGCGAAGAAAAGCAGAGCTTACCCTTTCAATTATCCTCTGATCATGAGAGTGGATAAGTGTAGTGTCTCCACAAATTAAAAAATAGCATAGGTACTTAGCTGTTATTCGGTGTTTTTTTTTTCCAAAAGAGGAATCAAAAATGGCATAAGTCCTATGATGCTGCACATAATTTTTACTACTCTATGGAAACATTATCTCCACGAGATTCCTCCCACCCACCCTTATAAGATTGCCAGTTACTTTTTTTATCCCCTGGGATTGGTTCATGGAATTGAGCTACTTTAACTTCTTGTTTCACTTTGTCAGAATGGGATAGTCTCGCCTTGCTCATGGGAGCATGAGTTACTTCAAAACAGAGGGTGCCCTCAACTTTTACTCACCTGCACCCCATCATGGGCAAAAAAAGACTTGGTGTCGGCTTCCGTGGCCAAGTGGAGGCACGTGGTTTTGCTCCAGTACCGGTTTTTCCTCACCAGCAGAGCAAAAGCCCGCTCTTCACTGTTGTGGTAGCATTCGCTGAAGAGCTCTGCCAAGGAATGAGGCAAGTATGCAGAGGCAGGGAAACAGAACAAGGTTTGGGTCAACACTTTGCAAGTTCATATATATAAATATTTTAGCCGGAGATGTTTATCCAGTGCCAGTTACTCACTCCATTTGTGTTCTTTCGTATTTTGTCTCTGTCTCGTTTGGCTTTTTGCTTATATACTATATATTTGAGACATCTTTCAGTTCTATATTAAGCCCCCTGAATAAAGAGACTGAGACATGCTGAAGCCTGATGGTAATTATAATAAGCATCTTAACAACTGCAGAACTGGAAAGGACCCTATAGATCCTTTGCAGCCCTTGTTAAGGAGGCATGGTGGGGAATCAAACTCCCAATTTCTAACTCAGCTGCTTATATACTATATATTTGAGACATCTTTCAGTTCTATATTAAGCCCCCTGAATAAAGAGACTGAGACATGCTGAAGCCTGATGGTAATTATAATAAGCATCTTAACAACTGCAGAACTGGAAAGGACCCTATAGATCCTTTGCAGCCCTTGTTAAGGAGGCATGGTGGGGAATCAAACTCCCAATTTCTAACTCAGCAGCCAGATACCTAAACTTCCCCCTGCCCTCGAATCACCCATTTCAACATTATTAATTATTGGCAGCAGTTAAGTATATAAAAATAACTTCCAAAATTTGAAGAATGTAGCTTGATTAATATGAATTACTGTACTAAAAAGGATCAAACAAATATATTAAAAAGGAGATGTTTATCCAGAAACAGCTGGACACTTCGCATTTTGTCTATGTCTGGTTTGACTTTTTGCTTATATACTATATATTTGAGACATCTTTCAGTTCTTTATTAAGCCCCGTGAATAAAGAGACTGAGACATGCTGAAGCCTGATGGTAGTTATAATAAGCATCTTAACAACTGCAGAACTGGAAAGGACCCTATAGATCCTTTGCAGCCCTTGTTAAGGAGGCATGGTGGGGAATCGAACTCCCAATTTCTAACTCGGCAGCCAGATACCTAAACTTCCCCCTGCCCTCGAATCACCCATTTCAACATCTTTGTGAGGTAGAGGGAGGCCGTTACAGCAGCCAGATACCTAAACTTCCCCCTACCCTCGAATCACCCATTTCCACACTATTAATTATTGGCAGTATAAATGGGAGTGAATGTGTGTGAGAGATTTTAGATAGGAACAGATAGGGATTGATAGGGCTTTGATAGGGTTTAGAGAGGAGTTAGGAGATCTGTGATATATTGTGACAGCCTGGAGAATATCCCATCGGTGAAGGAAGTGCTTGACAAGATAGTGCCTTTATTATAGTGATTGAATTATTATTTAATTATAAGTGATTTACCATTCCTTTTATTTGTACCCAATAAATCTGAGTTTTTATTTTGAATCATATTTTGGCCTGAAGCTACTTATTTGAGGGAATGGTTGGTGGCAGTGGAAAAGAAGAGTGATTTAGAGTGACGTAGCAACCCCCCTTTGTGAGGTAGAGGGAGGCCGTTACAGCAGCCAGATACCTAAACTTCCCCCTACCCTCGAATCACCCATTTCAACATTATTAATTATTGGCAGCAGTTAAGTATATAAAAATAACTTCCAAAATTTGAAGAATGTAGCTTGATTAATATGAATTACTGTACTAAAAAGGATCAAACAAATATATTAAAAAGCACAAGCAACACCAAAACACATTCAAAGCAGTAAGGCACAACATTCCATTAAAAAACACCACTCATGCAGCCAGTCACTTAAAGAAAGCCTGCCCAAAGAGAAAGGTCTTTGTCTGCTTGCAGAAGGACAGCAAAGATGGGGCCAGTCTGGCCTTCTATGGGAAGGAGTTCCAGAATCTGGGAGCAGCGACAGAGAAGGCCCTCTCCCATGTACCCTCCAAATGTACCTGAGAAAGTGGCAGGACTGAGAGGAAAGCCTCTCCTGATGGTCTTCATACTTCAGAATCTGGGAGCAGCGACAGAGAAGGCTATCTCCCATGTAGCCTCCAAATGTACCTGAGAAGGTGGCAGGACTGAGAGGAAAGCCTGTCCTGATGATCCTCATACTTCAGCAAGCTCATAAAGGGACATGTAGTCCTTGAGAAAGCTTGAGCCTAAGCCATTTAGGGCTTTATAGGTGCTGCCCCAAAAAGGGGCCACTTCCCTCTTTAATGAGGAAGCTCTAGTTAGTTAGTTAGTTAGTTAGTTAGTTAGTTAGTTAGTTAGTTAGTTAGTTAGTTAGTTAGTTAGTTAGTTAGTTAGTTAGTTAGTTAGTTAGTTATATTTTTATACTGCATCATCTAGTGGCCTTGCTTCTACTCTGGGCGGTTTCCAGCAATAAAACAAACATACAGAAAACAGTCAAATCCTGCCAAATCCAAAAATATAAAATGAAGAAATATAATGTAAAAGAACAAGAGATTAAAAAACAGGATGGCAGCAATGGACAATATACATCTCTATATATCCATATAGCACGTTCTCATTTTGTCTGAAGGTGTCAGTAACAAATTTTCCTGTTGCAACAGGAACACCTGCAGCAAAGTATCAGTGGCAGGAACTGAGAGGAAGAGATAAAGTGAACATGTTCTGTATCAAATGCCTTCAAAGATCTTTTTGCTTTTGGAAGCGGGGTGTGCAAGGTGGATAACTATGAAGCCAGAGGTTGGGAGTTCAATTCCCCATTGTTCCTCCTTGATAGAGGCTGGACTCAGTGATCCATAGGGTCCCATCCAGGTCTGCCGTTCTATGGAGGGGAAAAGTTGAGTGCTTGTTCTGAAGATGGTTCTCTTTGGCACAGTAACCCACAGTCACAATCAAATATTAGCAGCTACATGGAAAGAAAAGTTTGAAATCCTTCTGCTTTACCCTTCTTAGTGATCACACTTCATAGATTATTTCAAGCTTGAAACCTGCCTGGCTGTCTTTTTAAAATATAACTTTCAAATACTTCTTTGGTTCTTTCTTTATCTAAAAGAGGATGTTCTCAGAGTACTTGCATTCCAAAGTGAACAATAGGAGGAAATAATAACACACATCTTGCAGGAGTATTTTCTCTGGTTTTTGCAAGGGGCTGAAAGAATGCAGAGGAAAGAGCCAGTGCTTAGGTCAGAGGTAAAGGGGAACAGATGGGCTACTTTTACCTCTCATATTTTGGAAGCTGGGAAATTCTAAACATGTCTCTCACACTCTCCTCAATATAACCATGCATTACACTGGGAGGAAAAGGCATTCTGCCAGCGCCATGCAGTGGCAGGGCGCATGGTTTACACGCAAAAGCTTCCATGTTTAGTCCCTAGCATATTAGCCAATGGTGGTCGAAACTGCTCCGGACACCTTGGAGAATGGCTACCAGCCAGAGTAGGCAGAAGTTGGCCAAGCAGTCAAATAGCCTGACCTACCACACAAAGCACCTTCTGTCCCAAGCAGCAAAGCAGGTAGATCTGCATAACACAAGATCACCAGTCACCAGAAATCTGATTCCAGAAAGCAAAACTTTTTGCCTTCAATTAGTATTCTAGAGCCCAAGCAGTCTCATGGGAACAGAGACTCTTGCAGGAACCCTGGGACTAGCTGGTTTTACAGATTACTTCACATTACTGAACCTGGAGGGTTTTAAACTGTTTTTTTTTAAACTGGTGAGGAGAGGCGAGTTTTTTTTTTCCTTTTTTAAAAAAAGTTATATTTTGACTATGAGAAGATGCCAGTTTCTGATTTTAACTTTATCAATTAAAACACTTTTTAAAAGTGAAACTTATTCCTTAGTCAACAAAAACAACTACCATGATTTTTGCAGTATATAAGAACTGCTTGAAAATAAATTATAATGATAGTGATGAGAATAAGAATAAAAATTATTCCTCTTATCTCCACCCTCTTAAGAGTATTGTCCTCTAACTGCCTGCAAATCTAAAATCTGGACTCCCCTGAGATGATCCACTCTGATGTGACCCATGCCAAACAGCATCCTAACTACTGGAGCAGAAGATCTCCAAGTACAATACCCTCCATTAGTCAAGCCTAGATATTACTAAGACACGAACCGTTGGACTCCCCTGAGATGATCCACTCTGATGTGGCCCATGCCAAACAGCATCCTAACTACTGTATGTGAAACTAGCTGGAGCAGAAGATCTCCAAGTACAATACCCTCCATTAGTCAAGCCTAGATATTACTAAGACACGAACCGTTGTAGTCAGACCACCTATGACTTTCATGAATTCTCTTAAGGCATGTCTAGCCAATTGATATTCATATTTCCAGAACCCCTCAGTGGTGGTACCCCAGCATTGTGATACTAACTGGTTGTTGCATATATATATAGTTAACTTTGTAATATTATAGAAGCCTCTCAGGGTTTCAGCCTCTTCCTGCAGTGTTTTTCCCTCATTCCCCTCAGCATTGCAGGTATGCTTTCTGAGGTGACAAGAGAAAATTGCTTTCAGGCTATGGAATTCATTTCCACAGAAAACCAAACTGGCCCCCTCCCTGTTGCTCTTTTGCTAGGAGGCAAAAATCTTTGTGTTCAGGCAGGCATATGTCATTTGACACCTTGTCAAGGGAAGGGAAGGGATTTAAAGGGGGATGCAGTACTTTTTCTGTGTTTTTACCTTTTCCAATGTGCTTATAATTTTTAAAAATATTGTTTTTATTCAGTGGTTGTTTCAGGGTTTTGTTGCTTTTCAAATACTGTAATTCATTTTCTTTTATCTGGATTTATTTTCTAAATAGTTTCTATGCTAGCTTGAGTCACTTTGTTGGAAGAAAGATGGGATATACGTAAGTGTATATAAAGTGCATGGATGATGATTACTGTATAGTGACCTTCCCTGGAATAGTTGTGCAGGCTGAAACCTGGAAGAGCAACAATGAAGGAATTAGAAAATATGATCAAGTATAAGGATGTGTCACTGGAGGCCAAGATCAAGGTCATCCACACTCTTATCTGGAAGCTGAGTCATTGCAACTGGACTCCTTTCTTTTAGACTGAAGAAGCTACTTGGATGAGTAGTGACACATTTCAACCTAATAAGAATGAAGTCCAGTTGCCATGACTCAGCTTCCAGATAACCTCACCTGGATGACTGACAATCTTTACAGACACATCCACATTCCTGTATTCCCAATTATCATGTATGAATGTGAAAGCTGGACAGTAAAGAAAGCTGATAGGAAAATGATTCATTTGAAACATGGTAGAGTTTTGCTGATACCCTGGACTGCAAGAAAGTGAAAATGATTCATTTGAAACATGGTGCTGGCGGAGAGTTTTGTTGATACCCTGGACTGCAAGAAAGACAAGCAGATTAAGTCTGAACCATCTGTGGAGACAGATGCGTGTGATTGGGCTGGTGGGGAGGGCAATCAAGGGCAACAATTCCATATCTGCCTCAAAATAAACATACCTCTGGTGGAGGAGCAGAAAAACTCATTCTCCTAGCACACTACTCAATGCATGCATGCATGTACCTTGTGTGTACTCCTAAATCTGAGGAGTTGTGTGTTTTTTAGCAGAACCTAATACAAGAGCAGTTTTTATTGTCAGTGAGAATAGACTCTAAGACTCCACCTTCCATAGCTGGCCGTGCTATGCTGAGAAGCCTTTTTTCTCCCTCCCCAACCTTTTTTTTTTTTTAATTTGAAGGCTGACAGCTCATTCTGCAGCATTAGAATCCACATCTATCATATATTTTCTGTGTAACACCAACACATACATGGGGCACCCATCCCTACCTGCTTTGCAGCCCTGCTATATACTATAGTTATGACATGTGAGAAGCTTTAGTATTTTTCCTCTTGAAAATTCTTGAGAGCTTCCTCACTAACCAGCAGAGGAAACCAGAGCCACACAAATGGCTGCCTTTATCTGATAATTGTATATTTCCCCTTCTAGGCTTACTAGCTGACACTTTGTGGGCAATACAAGAGGAAATCCTTTGAGAGATATGAATTCACTATGAGAGAAGTAGGTAGGGGGCAAAATGTATGAGGGTGTCTCCTCTACCCTTAGTAAACACTGAGATTTTAGAAAGCTTTTGGAAACATCATTTTACGCACTTCTTTTATTCCAGTTTCGTGTTATGGTTTGAGGGCTTGTTTATTTTTGCTTCCTCCATCATTTTGAACTTCAACCTTATTTGTTTTGAAATGATATTGCTTAAGCTGCTAACCGCTTTCAATGTCAGATACAGCAGGTTGTAGCAGATGTAGTCCAGCAGTCAAGAGCATGAGTTGCAAAACAGGAAGACCCTGGTCCAAATTTTGCCGTAATATTTGTGTTTCTGTCAGGGTGCAGAACAAGCATTATGCTGCGGGCAAAGGCTTCCATTGCTCCTAGAGGTAATCACCTGTACATGTCACAGTTTTGTTGGTTTGTCCAGACAGGTTATGGTGTTTGACATAGGCTTACCAACAGCGAGCTGCTCATATTTTGCTTCTTTCATCCTACGAACGACTTCGGCTTCTGTCTCCAGGTGGGACATCTCTCGCAGGATTTTACAAGCAGCCAGGGCTGCAGCTACACCCTCCTGGCCCTAGGGAGAAGACATACAATATAAAACAATTCTGTTGAAGTCCGCTGACTCTTAAGAGATCATTGTTACAAAGTCTCTTTGGCCAGTACTTTGTTCAATGCTTGTGCACACGTGGAACTCAAATTCAATATGTGTCACCTTGAGTCCTTTTAAAGAGAAAGGCAGAGAAAATATTTTAAATAAATAGAAATAAATATGAAATAATTTGGTGATCTGATGAGGTGCTGGTTTTATTCCTGATCATGTGCAACTAACGGCTTGTCAGATCACCACAGCAGCTTCCATAACTGAAGACACACACAACACGCACACACACACACACACACACACACACACACACACACACACATACAGAGAGAGAGAGAGAGAGAGAGAGAGAGAGAGAATATTGAGCAGGATGTTGGCCTTTCTTTCTCTCCCTGCATTTTGTATTTCAGATAGAATAGGACCCTGGTGTCCATGGGGATCAGTTCTAATCCCCCGTAGATGCCAAAAAATTGGGAAGTAGCAAAGACTGCTCATTGCATGGTCTCTGGCTCCTTCTGGTAAATACACCCTGGAAATTGCTCTTTTTTTGGGGGGGTATTTAGTATTTTCAGGAAGAGGCTAAGTGAATCAGCAAATACTGATCCCACAGACAGCGGGGTCTTGCTGTATTCCAGATTCAATGTATACAAATTACTAACTTGTAAGTATATACTCCTCTGGTTATGTCTAGTGTGTTGTAGCAGAAGTAATATCTCAAGTGACCTCTGGCTGCTGAAAATTAACATATTTATTACACCACAGGATGTAATAGAACACAGTCTACTTTATTAAGTTCTGAAAAAGACAGATTTTTCTCAGGTACCATATTAAAGAGTTCAAAAATGCTTTTCATTTGACTTGAAAATCATTAAAGCTATTCTGGCCTAGTGCATTGAGCTTACATTCCATGTTTCCCCACACAGCCTGCCTGTACTTTGAGACCTTCAGGGGAGGCCCTTCCATGGGTCTTGCCACCCTCTGAGGCTCCTCTGATGGGGACACACACAAGAGAGATGTGGAAAAGTGGAAGAAGTCCGTTTATCATGTTGTGTTACTTTCCTCAACTGTGCTGAAAATGGCAGAATGAAATTTAACACAGATAAGCACAAAGTTCTACACCTAGGAAAAAGGAAACAATTGCACAGTTACAAGATGGGGAACACTTGGCTCAGTAATACTACGAGTATAAAAGGCCTTGGAATTATTGTAGATCAAAAGCTGAATATGAACCAACAGTGCAATGTGGCTGCAAAGAGAGCAAAGACTGTTTTAGGTTGCATTAGCACGGAAAGATTGTCTTCGGGCAAAAAAACGCTGACTCTATGGCTTGAAGAGCGGGATAAGCGCCGCCCCCTAGAGTCGGACACGACTGGACAAAAATTGTCAAGGGAAACCTTTACCTTTACCTTTACTAGCAGAAGTTCGAGACTCCAAATCTCATGAAGTACTAATTCCTGACCTATTCAACACTGGTTAGGCCTCATCTCGAATACTGTGTCTAGTTCCAGACACCACACTTTAAGAAGGACACAGACAAACTTGAACAGGTTCAAAGGTGGGCAAGAAAGATGATCAGAGGACTGGAAACCAAGCCATATGTGGAAAGATTGAAAGATCTGGCATGTTTAACCTTGAGAAAAGAAGACTAATGGGAGACATGATAGCAATATCCAGATACTTGGGGAAAAAAAACTATCATACAGGGGACATGTACAGTAATAATGGGCTCAGGCTACAGGAAGCCAGATTTTGGCTTAATTAATTAATCTGTCTAATATACATTAACTTGGATTGCTACATTGAGCAGGGGGTTCATGGACTTATAGGCGCCTTCCAATTCCATTATTCTGTGATTCTATGATATCTTGAATTTAGTGTGCTTTGATTTATGATTGGGCATTAGTAAGCAAACCCATGCTTAAGTCTTGTTTGTTTGTTTGATTGATTTATATGCCATTCCTTAGGTGTAAATTCTACTCTGGGTGGTTTAAAAATTAAAACTTAGAACCTCACACAACTCCACATTGCAATGCCATCAACAGGGTGGTTCAGCAATATAGTGCTAAAATTCATAAAAAAGAAAAAGAAAGAAAAAAATTAATATTAACAGCATCCAGGGATGTTATTGAATGCAGCCTGGTATAATTCTGTTTTCACTAATTTCCTGAATATCAGTTACTGAGGCATGTGTATCTGAAGAAATCCTAAAGTTAATCAAAAGAGATACGCATCCCAGTTTGTCCAATTTGATCATTTACAGCTGCTTGCAGGCTCTAGAACTTTTTATGAAGGAAGGCCAGACTGCCCCTCATTCTATCAACCTCCTGACATCAAGGTAATTCCTTTTTTTTTTTTTTACATGGAGGTCCTTGGTAAAATATTTGGTTAAAGAACATTTTACCAGGTAGATGCTGTATTTTCCTTCTTGTGTTTTAAGCTCTCTTTTTAATCTAATTATTTCTGTAATGTTTTATGATTTAATTGTATTTTTAAATTATTGGTTTTACTGTGAATTACTTGTGGCATTTGAAGCTAGTAAACAAATATAACCAAACAAATAAATTTCTTGCAAGCTGTTAAAATGCATGTTTTTTAAAAAATGCTTGCCTTGACATTAGTGTTTGGCTTTGTCCAAGGCACATCACTTGAACATGTGGACAGAAAAGATACAGATTGTAAAGCTCTTTGCATAGTAAACAATGTTGTAGGAATGAATAGTGTCGAACCAGCCAGGGACAAGGGGACCTTAAATCCATGGGAGATAATCTTCCCATGAAATGTTTGTTGAACCAAACAGACAAAGAACAGGGGCGAGTAAAGATGCTTCCCTAGGTGAACTTCAAAGTTCTGGATGTTTACTTTTTTAAACATTTGGCTTGCTTAAATCTGCTTATCAATGTGATGTTTATATTGTCCAGAAGAATGGCTGTGTGAATTGCAAAGAGTCTATTTGACTTCCTCTTCCATGTTAATGACTTTCAGACACTGACTCCATTGGGGTTTACTTCCAAGTATGTATGCATGGGGCTGAAAACCAAATCACTTACTGGTGTTTTAAGCCTCACATGTAAAACATTCTAAAGATTATATTACATTGTAGTTTCTCTTTTCTTCGTACTAAAAGCAAACTCAATTAGTAGTATTTGGGACTTTATCCAGAAGCAGTCAAAGGTAGAGAGGGTCCAGATACCGCATTACTCCCATCTTATCTAGTCAGGTCCATTGGGATTCCTCATCAGAACTTTGTTTTAAGACAGTCCTTTAGGATACCTCATTCTGGTTATTTTGAGTAAGTAGATTTACATTAAAAGAAAAGTATCAATCAGAAAAAGAAGATTCAGAGACTGTTTTGGGTGTTTACTAAGACTCTGACTAAGAACAGGTTACTGATACATTAATAATACTTCATTTGTGCTTATTTTTAATTCATGCAGTGTTATTGTCAAGTGTTTTTAATGCAGTCCGCTGTTTCCAACAAAAATTTCAATGACGAATTTGCAAATTTATTCTATTTGTCAATTGGTTTTTTTATACTCTACCAAACATCTGTTTTCCTCTTCTAATAAATCTAGGATTCCTTCAACTGCTGCTCAAGTAAAACAGCTTTACATTAGTCCCTTCTCTGGTCAAAAAGCCGAATGCTTTTCCCAACCTCTCTCTCTCTTTTTTTCTTTTAACAATAGGAAACAGCATATGTGTAGAGCTTTGTCCTTCACTGTGGGGGAAAACAACAGATTTCCTGCTTAGCCACCATAGTTTAACTTTTCCCACCTCTTCCTAGGAAAGAGTCTATAGTTACTGTCAGGGAAGAGGAAGCTTTTTCAGTGTTTATCTTTTCCAATAAGAATTCTGCATATGTTGTTTATCTCAAAACCCAGAAGCAGTAACTAACATGTGTAACTCACAACTGGAGATTCCCCAGCTTGCAACACCTGTGTTGGAGTTGTAGGCTGTGGCACACAATACGTATTTGTCCAGCTGAAACACGTTAGATGAGAGAAAAATGGTTTGTGAACTTGTTTTGTTACGCTATGACTTATCCCGATTTCATAGGCAATTGTGAGATGGCATGTCTGTGACAGACAGACAGTGTGGAGACCAAGTGATGAATTTAAAGACAGCCAAGCAGATCTACTTTGCTTGTCAGGAGAGCTTGACGGGCTGAAGGCTGCAACACACAGATCAAAATGAATGTATTACTAAAAGAAAAAAGAAACCCTGATATATCACGGTGGGATCTGCAACAGGTCAGAATGAACTCCAAAACCAAACTAGGGTTGCCATTATATGGGATTTCAGGGCCAAAGCTTGAGATTGGACGTATAAACCCCCAGTCCTAACTCTCAGAGTCAAAGCCTGAGACACAACGAATCTATTCTTAAGACTGCTGGCCAAGCTGGAAAGAGTTCCTAGGAGGCAGGTTATGAAAAACAAGGACAACAGCGATAGCCCATGTCAGAGAGGGCACAGTTCCGTAGTGCTGTGGCTCTACAGTTCCAGGCAGGATGAGCAACTCCGTCCCAGTGACTTTTTCCCAGTCCCCATAGCTGTTACCTTACCACCCACCCACCCAGGAAAAAACATGCAGGTAAAAAGAGTGTATCCTGTATAGATTTGAAGGATCTTCAGTTAAATTTGAGGCTTACCATAGCCCAGAAGTAGTATGCCATCTTGTGCCTATTTTGAAGTACTGCCCATAAAAACAAATCTCTCCACGGATTCTCACTTCTCTGATTCAGATCCAAAGGGGCTGGTAACTTTTTCGCATTGATCTTATCCTAAGGAAACAAATGACTTCTTAAAACACAGCCTCCGTAACAGAAATTCTTTGTAGGTAGATAAGTCATGTCATGCTAGCTATCAGATCAGTTAGGGATTCCAACCCGCAATCTTTTTTTCCCCCTTCCAAAATACGGGACTATCCGATCTTCAGAAATCCTCCAAAGGAACATTCCTACGACCATCATCACCATTCTGTTTCACAAGAATGAGCAATTCTGCATGCTTAAGGAAATAAACACACTGAACTGCTGCTGATGAGGAAGGCAACTGAGATGGCTCAGTTGAGTACAGTACAGCACATGTGGGGATCTGGGTCAAAATGCAAGAAGAGGAAAAGAGCCCTAGTTCTCTTTTTCTCATGTCAGCACAGTAGCCGACCAGATGCTTTATGGGTGGGTTGGCCCTACCATTAGGTAGAGTGATGCCACCAGATGGTGTCCCTGTTCCCCAGAGCCCTGGACATTCACTTCTCTTGAGAGACAGAAACATATATGCCACAAAAGCCCATCCTCTCATCTCCTAATCTAGTTTGCTGCCCTCAGGTATGCTATTCTGTTACCAGTGATGCATAGCAGCATAGGCATCCTTCAGTCTCGAGAGACTATGGTAACATGCTCTGAATTGAGGAGTGTCCTCTCCAGAGCATGAAGCCCGGATAAGGTAATATGGAGGATAGGCTGTTACCCAAGCAGCAAATCCCCCCTCTCCACATTGCTGAAATGGTCCAATGGAAAGGCAAGAGCCAATACAACTGGTTCCAGCAACGTCGCAGGAGTTGGCAGAACGACACATGCTGCCTTCGGGACTCCAGCTCCGGATTTTGCCTCGAGGTTAACTCCTGCAGCCTTTTCCATGAGTGGATATAGCCACAAGTGATGAGGTAAGATCCAAATGCCAGTCCAGCCAATATCTGCTTATTGGGGCAGGAGATGTCATTTTGTCCCTTGCCTTAGGCAGCAAAATATCTTGGACTAGTCCTGTCTATGGGAAGGTCATAAGTAGGACAGAAGCACAACAGCTCACATTATAGTTCACATTCCCCAACAACTGCTCTCAGAATAATTGTGAAGTGGTATGAGAAGAGGTTGGTCCTTCAGGACAAACACAGCATTGCCCCCACTTCAGGCTCAGACTGCTCCCAGCCTGCCTGTCAATTTACCAGAAAAGGAGGGTCAGAACCCCCCAACTCTCTTCCTGCTGAACTTTAATTTCTTCATACTCTGTGTGAACAGAAAGGCATGGCAGGATCAGGAAAAGAATGGGTACATTTTAACATAAGACACATTTTTCCAGTGCAGACACATTTCATATTCCTTGGTTGAGAATATTTCATATTTCTCTGGTTGAGAAAGTTCAAAAGAGACTTATCTTCATGCAAGTTGTAACCTTTGAACTGCAACCTCTGTCTGTGCTATATACAAAGTCAAACCCTCTCCAAGCTCTGCCAAATAACCCCCTTGATTGATTGATTGATTGATTGATTGATTGATTGATTGATTGATTGATTGATTGATTGATTGATTGATTGATTGATTGATTGATTGCAGGGCCATGAGATAATTTGTTCACATGACTGTGGCATTAAAAGGACCTACTGTATCCAGGATACAAATGAATAAGTATGAGAATACCCTGCATGAGATACTGTGGAAAGAAGTTGCAATTAGCTGTATCACCCATTTTCTATTTAATCAGCCAGAGAACACTTTTTAGCCAACATGAATGAATGATGTTTCATTAAAATACAAGGAGATCTCCAAGCAGATCTGGCATGGGATGGATCATAAACCTAAAAAAGCAGTGGTTCAATCCTTTCACTGTCTCCTTTGTGCATGGAAAAATGTTTTGGAGTTTGCATTCTTTGGTTTGATTTACATATTGCATTATCTCCTTCCTCCACTCTACGTTGCAGTGCCCTTTTCCATGCAATTAAATTAGAGCATCATCACTGCATTTTGCCAATTGCACAATACTGCCAGCTTCATTCAGAAGTTGTGTCTTTGGAGGGCAGACAAAGGGAGCTCAAAGGCCTGCTTAGATACAGTATGTGCTGCAAAGCAGGAACACAAAAGAGTCACCATGGAATTAAAAAAAAATCCAGAAAGATGCAGAGTAGAAGGACTCTTGTCATCTATTACTAATAAAATCAGACCAAAATGTCCAGTCCCTGTTCATGACTGTCATGCAGTAGTTGATAATCAAATGTAATAGCTGCAGATGTACTACCTGAGAGAAATGTTTCAAAGCTTTAGTGAGGTTTCTAGGCCTTCTCTATTGTTTTGAGACGTTAACTTATGGACTGTTCTAGACACATGTACATAATAAATTCAGGCTGTGGTCACACCAAGGAAATGTTCCCAACTTCTAATGATACTTTCCACACCTCTGTAGTGCATCACATCGTATATATATCCCAATGTGTTTTAACCTTTTTGATTCATTTTCTTTAATTGGAATCATTGTGGCCACCTACACCATAGTATTTATTTTTTATGGGGCACTGCATCCCCTTAACTTTATTTAAAAAATAATAATTAAATGGTACATTGATATGTGGGGTACTGTTTCCTGATGGGTAGATTTTCCTCACAGAGTGCTGTCCTCTGAAGATGCCGGCCACAGAGATTGGCAAAACATTAGGAAGAACAACCTTCAGAACACAGCCACACAGCCCGGAAAGCCTACAACAACCAGATTTTCCTCTGTTGCACCAGTGCCTCTGGAAGCAAGGCCTTGTACTCAATGGACCCAGCAGCCCCACTCAAGGCTGTTCCACTTGGCAAACAGCAGGTGGAGTGATGCGACACTTACCAATGCCTTTAAAGCTGTTGACATAAATTTGACAACATATCAACACTCCAGATATGGAAAAAAAAACTTTTTAAAAAAATTACAGAACAACAACTGTGTGACAGTAATAGCAGCTGCCTTCCCAAGTGAATTTGCTTCAGAAAAGTACCAATAGGATTGTACACACATGCCACACCTCTAAGGAATATATCGAAACACCACCAGAACAACAACAAAAAGCCTCTCAACGAGTGGGAATTAAACCACAGTAACACCACTGGCAAGTAAAATGAAACACTAATGGCCTTGTGTCACGTGATGGCAAATTTATGCTACGTTCTAATTTGGGCATTAGTAGGGAACAATTTCGACATGTGATTACATCCTCAATCTTATTGAGTTAAATGTTAAGTTACTCCCATATAAATGTATAGAATTAAACCTGAGGCTTTTAATGTTGAACATACTTATTAAAGAGTAAGCCACACTGAGCTTAATGGGAGCTAATTCTAAGTAAGTATGATTGTGCTTTTAGGGTGTTATCACATGAAGAGATAAATTGCATTTTGACCCACTTGTGGAGCGGTCTGGTGCAATCAATTTTCTGGTGACCACATGATGTACGGGGAATTGTGCTCCACCCCAACCCCAATCCGTGTGCATGCTGGACCTTTTTGGCCCAACTGTAGGACTATTGCTTTTGGGGGCCAGGCTGGAGTTACTCCCTGACAGACAGAAGGGCTGCTTTAGGGGAGATTGATTCCTGCAAGGTGACCCATTCCAGTGTGATCTGATGTGTGCCTTTTCTGCTCTCTGACTGCACCCTAAGTTTCTTTCTTGACCCATTGTCTTCCCAGGTCTCCTGCTATTCTTTTCCTTATATGTTTCTTTAGGTTTAAATAGATGGGAAATCTCCAGAGGTCTGGGATCTATAAATGCAACCTGGAACTTGGAAGACCACATTTGCTCTCTTGACCTTGACTCACATGAACATTTATTACATAAATGGTTATAGGACTTTTGGGGGGGTGTTTCTTTTCCTCTTTTACAGAAAAAGCCTCTAGAGGGCACAAAAGGATTTTCTGAGCCAAAACTAACTTTAAAAATTATTTTAAGACTGAGATTGAATGCAGCCTTGGGCCTCATTTCGTCCATTCCTGGTTTGGATTGTAAACCTGAAAACACAATGTTGTGGATTCAGATAGGTTTCCCTAAGGGTCTTAGACCCCAGACCATGAGATCAAAAGGTATAAGATATCCCAAAACATAAGGCATCTCAAAACACATGGCATGGAGGGGGGGAGAGTAAGGTGTCCCAAATGGCCTTAGGCTCCAGGCCTCACATTTAACAATTCTTACATCTGAGGAAAACTTACAGTTTTTTTCTTGCCACCTGACTTAGGGTCTTGATAGAAACCTCTGCATGCATCATGGAGAAAATCCTTCAGCACTCTGGAGACTTCATGGAGAGTGAAGAGTGGGACTGTATCCATTGTTTCTTTGTGCTGTTGACCACTCATTCCTGCCAGAGTGAGTCTGTTTTCTTCATGCTTTTTGAGCAGAAGTGTATACAAGAGGCACTTGGGTGAAATGGTAGAATAGAGTCTCTGAAGCCGGCCATATGTCAGGAAGTCATGCATGTTTGCCCCATTATCTATAAATAACTTGACAAATTCTGGCTTATCATTCACCAAGGCATCCATCATCACTTCTTCTAGGTCACATGACTGAATTTAACAGAAATTTAAGGAAATTTTTTTTTAGTATTGATAGCAGTGAATACTAGCTGATAATAGCATTAGGAGTTGTTTCATCCTTTGAAGCCTATCGTGTCACATAGAAGCATGACCAAGGCAAACTGAGCAGCGGACTGGGTGGGGGCATTCTGTCCTTCTGCCATATTTCAGGGTGCCACAGCAGGCATAAAATCCTTGTTCAATATTCTCAACTGGATCAGACTACTGTTCAACAATGATTTTGCATCAATGAAGGAATAAGCAGGCAATGCTCCATATTACAGATCTGTAGAATTGTTTAAGTGAACTGATTCAGATTGCATATAGAGCATGAAATAGCATATCATTAGAAGCACACAGTGATTCCCTAGACTCTCATGCTTGAGCTCTCTGAGTTCCAAAAGAAGTTTGTGTTTACCTTCCAGAGACCAATGAAAAAACCCAAAGTCACCCATTTCAGGACAGGGAGATGAGGGAAGCTCATGCTAGAGGACTATCTATATTGTCAAGGTTTTTTGGGGTGGCGAAAATGCCCCTGGAGGTTTGCATGTGGCTGGCAGGCCACACGTTGCCCACCCCTAACATAAGGTGTCCCAAAGGCATAAGAAATCTGCTACATCCTTTTGTTTGAAAAGATCACCTTCTTGCAATAATTATTGCAGGTGCAGGGACTCTGGTTCAAACCAGGACTAGAGCAAGGGAACAGAGAGGTAAATGCTACCCTTCACCCACTCATACCATATGAACTGGTAGTACTGATATTGTATGGTTTCGTTCTCATGAAGTAATCATTTCCCCTTGCCAACCCAAATCTGAAGGCATTAACAAGTGAAAAAATATGACAACCCCAGTTCCAAGACTGGGTCAGGATTTGCAGGTATTATGACAGAACCTTGCTGTAATTATCTGGTCTGTATCTGTAGGGATACCCCACTGGGAATCCTATGTATGCTGCCTTGAATTCCTCCTTGTTGGCCAGGTGACCTCTTATTTGCTTCTTTTATTTAGATAGTATGGGAGGAGCTGGGATCCATCACAGCAGTACCAGACACAGCTGCACATAGGCTCCCAGATTCATGCCTGTGGAATACTTTGAGGAGGATGGGATGGCAACTGATCCAGCACTAGACACAAACATGTTGGTGTATCTCGTGGGTCTTTTGTACACATGATGCTTGTGCCACAGAACATGGGGATTCTAATGGAGGACAGATGTCCTTCAGGTTTCATGAGTGTTTTTCATGTCGAAGGGCAGATACCCAGAAGGCCCACAGATATTTTGTAACCTCTTAAACACTTTAGACCTGTTTTTCATTGACCGTGTTCATGTAATACAAAACGTCCATTCTCTAGAATGACAGAAACTGGTCTTATAAGGGTTATCCCCACCAAGTCTGGCTGCTTTTCATTCTCTCTTTCCAATTTCTCTTGTGGAAATAGCATGACTGCACTGCTTCAGCCCATCTATGAGTCATTTATATAAGTCATTCAACCAGATAGAAGGACTTACCTTCCATTCAACATCTCCATTGAATATTTCACTCTTAGCTATATCCACTCTGTTCCAGGCCACTGCCAGCTTCAGTTCATCCAGGTACTCTTGGGCCTCCTGGCTATGACTTTTACAGGCTATTACAAATGTAACATGAGAATTCATTTACTAGTCCTATACAGGTTCACTGGGTGAGTACCACAGTATGTTTGCATGAAATTACAATCTCTCAAAGTCTTAAATAAATAGCAGGGTAACAGATATAAGGTATAGTATACCTTATATCTGTTACCCTGAAACTTGTCAGAGTGTTGGGTTTTTTAAAGTCTATCCTGTCATTTGAAAAATTCCTCACTTGCCAAACATGGCTTGGGTACAATTCAGCCAGGGCCTTTGAGCCCCAGTAATTTCACTTAAGAAAATCAGACATGCTTAGCTCCACCTCCATTCCACTGCCCGCAAAATTAAAGCAACATAACAATGTTCAGCTTTGCCTGGAATTGTAGCCATTCTTATTTCTCATAAATCCTCCTGTTGTAGAAAATGGAATGTCTTCAGTGAACTTTAAAGCCATATGGTTTTGCTCAAGGAATGATTCATAGTACAAATAGACTAAGTGTGTGTGTAGATGTATATTAGGAAAACTAACATCAGGATAACTTGGTGTCTGAAGAAGCGGATTTTGATCCACAAAACTTCACATGGAAATATATCTTTTAGTCTTTAAAGTGCAACAGTAGTTTGTCTTTTTTCACCCCCATCTTTTCTCTTGGGTACTAAATATATATTCTGTTGTGCAGGGTTGGCTATACCATTTGGCAGTTTGACCATGGTTGACAGATGGCAGATTTCAGGGTACTTGAAATCTGGAGCAATCCTAAAGCTAGCTAAAAGTCTCAAGCCTACCCAGAGCACAGTTTGCTGTCCTCTGAAGATGCCAGCCACAGAGACTGGCGAAACGTTAGGAAGAACCACTTTCAGAACACGGCCAAGAAGCCCGAAAAACCCACAACAACCATTAGACACTGGGTATGTTTATGGGAATCCTTCCAGTTACAGATGCTGGAGCAATCCTAAAGCTAGCTAAAAGTCAGTGGGGAGAACTATTTGAAGCTCTTTAAACAGTGGGTGCTGTGCCCTCCTTTTGTGGGAAAGCATTGAATCTGCTCTGGAGTTTAGTCTGAACTTAACAGAAGTTACCTGACAGAACCTATTTTGGGGATAAGATTCAGGACCCAGGGTAGCTCCTTAAAAGTTTAGATAAAACCCAGACCTGATGCATCAGTTCCACTGACTTCAAAAAAAGATTCCACCAATAGGAACACCAAGAAGGACATCATTTACACACCAAAGGACACTAGGTATGTTTATGGGAATTCTTCCAGTTACAGATATGCTGACAGTGAGGGCCAAAACCAGGCACTGTAGAGGTATGTTAGGTGTCTGTCAAGTAGTTTGGGACAGAGACATTTGGGGGGCAGCAGTCAGCATTGGTTAAAACAGCTTGGGACCTGGCTATTTGAAGGAGCACCTCTTTCTAGACAAACCTGCCTGATCACTAAGATCTACTGGGGAGGCCTTCCTCCATGTCCCAACATTGAGAACAGGTGATTTAGGTGGAGACACAGGGAAGGGCTTTCCCAGCTGTGATATCCCAATTTTGGAATGCCCCTCCCCTTGGAGACTCAATTGGCACCAACACTGGTATCATTTCAGTGCCAGTTTTAATGTCTTGAAGTTTTAATTCTGGGTTTTACACAGGTTAGTTTTAAATTCTTTTGAACATCTTATGCTTTTAAAACATTTTTATAGCTCTATACCCCACCCTGACAACCAGTGATATAGGGAGGGTGACAGATATTCTAAATAAATAAATAAATAAATAAAAATTACCTTTGACCAGAGCTTTCAAAACAACTGTATCCAATTCTTCTGAACCTTCTTGTTCAAAGTTATGTACTGTTAAAAGCTGTTGGTGAGCAATAATGCTTTGGATCTGAAAGGTTAAAGCCGGTTAACATTTCCCAGTGCCACTACATTAGAAACAGAGTTAAATATACAAACCACTCAGACTTCAATTACAAGTCACTCCTCCCTGAAGAGTAAGGAAGTTGAGAACATAGCAATATCCTTGGGTGTCCAAGCCCATAGTTTGGAAGTAATCATGGGATGAATAGCTGAATCCAAAGTACATTACATGTGTCCTGCATCCTTTCATGCTAGACTACTGTAACACAACTCTATGCAGAACTGCCTTTGAATAAAGTTCACAGACTTCAGCATATACAGAATGGAGCTGCTTGAATGCTGGGTGTTTATTCTTGTAAATATGGGTGCTCAGATGTGTCAAGATCAAGAGGTACCATTCTAAATATGTGGGGGTTTTTTCACTTGAAAAAAAAACCTGGGCTAGCTGGCAACTGAGATCAGTACTGCTTGTCTTGATTTCATCCTGCTGCTTCTTTAAACATTCCTGAAATAATTTCTGAAAGATTGTAGATTAATGTTAGTGCTTTAAAACAATGCAGTGTTATTCTGCCCAATTTGTTGTGGAGAGTTAAAGCACTCATTGACAACACTATAGAACTGTCTCGTATTGTCATTCAGTTTCTTATTTTTTGTTTGTTTGTTTGTTTTTGCTTCCTTCCTTTATCCCTACTAATTCTAAATACACCATTTGTTCTTCTGTTCCACCCTTCTGCTTCTGTGTAAAAGGTAAAGGTAAAGGTTCCCCTTGACAATTTTTGTCCAGTCGTGTTCGACTCTAGGGGGCGGTGCTCA